CACACACACACATATATACACACACAGGATAGCTAATATAGTTGTACTACTGACTTTGATTGCTCTATTGAAATGAACAGTTAATGTTTAAGTGTATGATCAACCTTACATGTCTACATTTGTTTATCTGAGTATCCAAATTGAGGGTATCAGTATGTAATACAACAACCATTGTTAATTTCCTATCACCTTGTCTGAGATTCTCTATTGCTTGTATGGTTTTTGTGTTATTTTTCTAAGTGTATGTGTGTTTGTTCAGATGTTTTCATTCTTTTATCTTTAAAATAAAAACATATACAATCTGAATCTCTTTAAAAAAGAAAAAAGAAAAAAGGAAAAGCATTTATGTATATTAACCTAGGTATTGCATGTGGTATGGAATAGAATAAATTTTCTGGAATGGAAACAAGGCTTTTTCATATATTACATAATATTTCAATGCAAAGAAGTGGGCTTCTCCCTACATATGTTTCACTTTTGAACACATAAGCAGTCATGTTGCCAAAGCTGCCATTTAACATGTTTTTTTATTTTATAGTAAAAAGAAAAAATAAAATAAAATTTCAAAACAAGGTAATAGGAGAGTAACAATGGTTAATACATTGCATATTGTTATCTTTAAATTAGAGTACAAGATAAAAGCATTTAAGTGTCAAAAAATATTAGCATAAACCTTTCTTTATAATGAACTAAGAGCAATTACTAGTATAACAATCTTAACTATCATATATATAAATAGCTTTTCCTTTCCTTCTTTTCTCCCTTCCTCCATCCCGGTTTTTTTTTTCCTTTTGAATAGCTTCTTCCATTTCACAATATCTATTGCATATTTTGGATCTTATTTGCTCTTTCAGCTTCTAACAGTAGGGAGACAATTGCCTTTGCTATTCTAGGTTTCTTCTAGTTCCAAATGAATTTTATGAATGCTTTCTCTAATTCTGTGAGATATGCTGTTGGAATTTTGATCAGAATTGCATTAAATATGTATAACAGTTTTGGAACTATGGCTATTTTCATTATATTGATTCTTCCTACACAAGAACAAGGAATATCTTTCCAATTTCTGATATCTTCTTCATTCTCCATTTTCAGAGTACTAGAGTCTTTAATGTAGAGGTCTCTTACATTCTATGTTAGATTGCTTCCTATGTATTTCATTTTTTACATGCTATTTGGTAAGGTGTTGTTTCATTAATTTCTCCCTGAGTGAGTTTGTCATTTGTGTACAGAAAGGTTATTGATTTTTGAGTGTTGACTTCGTATCCAGCTACGCTGCTGAATTTGGTTATTAAATCTAGGAGTTTTTAGTGGAGTTTTTGGAGTCTTCTATATAGAGTATCTCATAAATAATGATAATTTCAATTCTTGCTTTCCCATCATTTTTCCTTCTACTTCTTTCTCTCATCTAGTTCCTCAGACTAAAGTTTCCAGGACTATATTCAATAAGAGTGGAAACAGTGGACATACTTGTCTTTCCTGAATTTAGAGTGAAAGCTTTCTTTTTTGTCCATTTAGTATGATGTTGGCTGATGGTTTTTCATAGGTGGCTTTTATCAGATAGAGATAAAGACCAGCTATTTCAACTTTCTATAGGGTTTTTATCATGAATAGGTGCTGGATTTATCAGAAGATTTCTTTCCATTTATTAAGATGATCATATGATTTCTGTCTTTGGCTCTGTTAATGTGGTGTATTACCTTTATTGATGTGTGTATGTTGAATCATCCCTGCATCCCTGTGATGACTCCCACTTGATTATGGTGTATAACCATGTTGATGATTTGCTACATTCTTTTTGCCAGTACCTTATTCAGGATTTTTACATCCATGGTCATTAGGGAAATTGGCCTGTAATCCTCTTTCTTAGTTGGGTCCTTCTGTAGTTTTGGTATCAGGGTAATACTTGCCTCCAGAAATGAATTTGGGAGTATTGCTTTCCTTTCAATTTCATTAAAGAGTTTGAGAAGTAGTGGTATTAGGTTTTCTCTAAATTTCTTGTAGAATTCAGCAGTGAATCCATCAGGACCTGGGCTTTTCTTTTTTGGTAGGTTTTTTTTTTTATTTTAAAGAGAATTTAAAAATAAAATAACGACAACATAGACAAAACCAAAACAAAGCAAAAACAAGAAAAATGATACAGGGTTTCAAAACAGAATTATAGGAATTAATAGTAGTTGTTATACTACATATTGTTATCTTCAACGAAGTTGCTCAGATTACCATATGTAAGAATGCAAGATTGATCAAACCATTGAAGAGAATAAAAAATAATTTAAAAACATTAGAAACAATGCAGAGCTTCACTAGACAAGATAGTAGGAACTCACCAAAGGTTGTTATATTGCATATTGTTGTCTTCAAATTAGTTGTTCAGATTATCAGATATAAGCATGCAAAATTGGTCAAAAAATTTAAGCATTGACTGTTCCTTTCCACAAACCATTAGACATCAGCAGAACAATTAACCCAGCTAGCCCTCCAAATATATATAAATATATATTTTATATAAAATTTATTTTAAAATTTTATATTAAAAATTTTTATTTTCTATAAAAAGTATTTTATATTAAAATTTTATTTTATATAAAAAATTTTATGTTTTACATGAAATTATATATAAATAAAATATATATTTACATAAAATATATATAAATTTTACATAAAAATATATATAAATATATATTTTTCCCTTCTTTCTTGCTTTTTCTCCTTTCCCTCATTCAACCTATTCCTGTGAGCAATTTCTGTCCCTTTCATAATATCTATTGTACATTTTGGGTTTTATTTACTCTTTCAGGTTCTTACACTAGGGAGACAACATGATGTTGCACATGTGGTTCATATTTATTTCACTTATGAGTATGGTCTCCAGTTGCATCCATGAACTTATAAAAGCCTCAAGTTTATCTTTTTTTATACCTCAGTAATGCTCCATTGTATAAAAATACCACATCTTTTTCATTCATTCCTCAATTGATGGGCATTTTGATTGTTTCCAAGATTGTATGTCACTGTAGCACGACGTTTTTAATTCTTCTGGGAAAATATGCAGAAGAGGAATAGCTGGGTTAAGTGGGACCTCTAGTCCTAATTTTGTGAGGAATCTCCAGACTGATTTCCACAGTGGTTGCGCCAGTCTACACTCCCACAAACAGTGGAGAAGTATTCCTTCTCCCCAGAGCCTCTCCAGCATTTATTATTGGTTGATTTCTTGATGATAGCCATTCTTTCTCAGGTGAGATGGAATCTCAGCATTGTTTTAATTTGCATTTCTCGAATGATTAATGATGTTGAACATTTTTTGTGTATTCATTTGCCATTGTATTTCTTTATGAGAGAAGTGTGTATTCATCTCAGATACCCATTTTTGTACTGAGTCTTTGAATTTGAAGGAGCTGATTTTTTAAATTCTTTATATGTTTTCGATAGAAGTCCTTTGTCTGAGGAACAGTTGGCTAAATTTTTCCCCAACTTGTGGATTTTCTTTTTACTCTGCTGG